GTAGCTGCTGCAGAAATGAGCTACCTGCTGAGGCTGGCGGCTCCCTCCCGAGTCACGCTGGCTGGCGGGTGGGCGCTGTGGGCTGAGGCCTCCAATGTCTGGGCCTCTGCCCGGTGGGGCTGTGTGTGGCTGTGCTCAGCTGGGGCGGCTCTGCCTTCCGGGAGGCATCTGGCAGTGCCCTCAGTGGGAGGGCCAAGGAGGCCACCGCTGGCCTTGGGGGGTAGAGGCCAGGGATGCTGTTGGAGGCCACAGGAGCCCACAGCAGAACACGACCCAGCGCCCACTGCCCGTAGTTCGGAGGTCGAGTATCCCCGGCTGGGGTGGGTGCACTGCGGCTGCCTGGGGTCAGCTGAGGCCTTTGGGCACTTTAATTCATCTCTCTGTGTCTCAGTCTTGTCTCTATAAAAGGGGGACAGACTGTACCCCCTCACATAGGGTTGGGGGATTAGATAATCCACCCACGGAGTGTGCCTTCCGCAGCGCCTGTGAGTTCTCCGTTATCACCGTGGCCGCCAGGACCCCGCCCCCCTTCAGAAAGCCCACAGTCCAGGGGAGACAGGAGAGTGACTCCCGAGATGGACTTCAGTCTGGGACCCTGCAGATCTGGGAGCATGAAGACCTGCCTCGTGCAGCTTGGGGAGCAGGGGGCCTGCAGGAGGAGGTGGCTCAAGTTGAGCTGTGCAGGGCAGGAGGCATGGAAGGGCATGCTGGCAAGAGGAACAGCCCGTGCAAAGCCATGAAGGTACAGAAGACCCGGGAGGCCACCTGACCTCACATCACTGCGTCCACCTCTTCCTGCCTTTTGGCACCCATGTCTTGGGGGCGGGCCAGGTAGCTCCCATGGCAGGTGAGATGGTTTTAGGTGGGGACGCTGCCCACGATCGAACTGTGTCCTTTCTGGTGCTATTTTCTCTTTTGAACTCATCAGGAGTGGGGTCTCGGTTATGGGGCCTGAACGCAGGTGGACTTCATGGGGTGGTGGGAACGGGTCACTTCTCAATCATGGTGGCAGTACAAGGGGGCTAACACTGGACAAAGCTCGTGGGCCCTATGCTCAACATCTGCACGCTCCCGTCAACACCTGTATATATGTGAGACCTCAGTAAACAGAACGTGGGCAGGGCGGCTGCCAAAACTGGCCCCCGAGTCTTGCTTGAATTGGGTAACTTCTATTTTTGTTGTACTTTTACCCTGCCTGCCGTTTATGGAGGTGACACCGATTTTCCATTTGTGGTAGCAGTATGAAGTTTCCTTTTAAAATACGGCAGAATTAATATGCGAATGAATTTAAATAGAAATATCAAGTCAGTAATATCTTCTGGGGTTGCAAGGGTTCCGGCGTCTCGTGAGGACCCGGGGTGGTTCTGAGCGACAGCCAGCTCCTGCAGGGGGTGGGCGCAGGGACGGCCGTGCCAGGGTGCCGCAGCCCCAGGAGAAATCCCGGCTACTTCAGGAAATATTTCACTGATGCGCTGGTTGTGAGACTTGCTGTCCAAAACCCAGAGGACCCAGAGCCGGTGGTTATTAATTACCGCCGTCCTCCCCGCCTGCCGCTCAAATTCAGTCTTGGGGAGAGGGGAGGCAAAAAGACAGCAAGACTCTGCCGCGGGGATTAATTAAAACCAGTGCAAATGCTCGACACTTCAGAGCGCAGTAAAGCCTGCTGTTTGGCTGTTTCTCCGGGCTCCCGGGGAGTGCCGGTGTGCTTTGTGCCTGCATTTCACAGCAGCCCGGGTGTTTCTGATAAGCTGCAGTTTTTTCTGATGAGGCCAGAATTTCTGCTCAGAGGCTCTTCGTGCTTGGTTTTGCTGGTTTGCAGAGCGGTGGACTCTCAGGGTGTGGTTGGACATGGATTTGGCGCTGATCTTCCCCTTGATTACAGATTTCTGCTCTCTTACCTGCCAGGAAGGCATGTGCGAGTGTGCGAGTGTGTGTGTGTGTGTGTGTGCGCGCGCGCGCGCCTGCACATGTGTGTGAGCAGGCCTGCGTGTGTGTGCACAAGTTCAAACACAAGTTCACCCTGGTTGCAACTTCCAAGAACTCCAGACCCCACAGACTCTAGCTAGAAAAATCAGAGGGCCTCAGAGCCCGACGTGACAGAGGAGATGGATTCCGTTTCACACCACTTGGTTCTAAATGAGGAGCTCGAGGCCGAGAGTGGGTGGGGGACTTTTCCAAAGTCACCCAGCTAGGTAGTGGCAAAGCAGGACTTGATTCTCAGTTTCCTGCTTCGTAAGCCAGGGTTCCGTTGCCACATATGATGTTCTGTCCCCTCCCCCTCCCCCAGCCCGCAAAGTAACATCTTTAAAATGCTGGGGCATTGTATTCCTTTTCTGTACATAATGCAGAGGTAGGAAAGTCTCCTTTCTGCTGTGCCTCCATCCCTGGTTACTTAGCCTCTTCCTGCGGGAAGTCATTGCTACCTGTAACTTCCAGAATGCACACTTCATTTTGCACAGATAAGAGTGTCCCTGTGGGATCAATATCTAAGAGTGGCACTGCTAAGTCCCCAGGGCATGTGTGCTTGGAGTTCTGACAGATATTACTCAATCATCCTCTCTAGACGAGGGTGCTGCTGTCTGTCTTTTGGTTTGGATATTAGCATCTTGAGTTCCAGTGTCCCACAGAGGATTTTTTGAACTTCAGTCAGCTGATAATTTTTTTTTTTTGAGCCCCTGCTTTGTGGCAGGTCCCATCTGGGTGCTCGAGATAGAGTGTGGGGCAAGAGAACCCTCATGGCATTTACTGATTGGTTGGGGGCAGGCAGATGATGATAAGATGACCCCACAGTTATCTCACTAGAACTTGGAACAGTGCAGGGTAGGCGGTGGGGACCTCCGAGAGGCCTGAGCCAGTCAAGAAGCCAGGAAGCTCTGAGAGCCCGTGGCACTTTGGTGGAGCTTGTGGGCCTCAGTGAGCTTTGGATGTGTGGAGAAGGGGTGAGGAGCGTTGTCAAGGCTGAGGGAACTGCACATGCAAAGGTCCTGGGGTGGGAAGGAAAGAGGTGCTTCCCACAAAGTCCAGTTTAGCTGGTGTCTGGAGAGAGGAGGGACTAGGAGATCCCCGGCCAGGCTGGCCTAATTGAAGCCATTCACCTGTACCCCGAGAGCTGTGGGAAGCCATTTTGGGACTTTTACCTGAAGTGGAGTCACCAACAGACCCTCTGAGATCAGTTCAGCTAAGCTAGACTGCACTTCCTCCAGGGTGACCCCAAAAGGGCACAAGGAGGTTGAGGATCCCTTGAGTGTCCACGCTCGCTCCCCAGCATGAGCTAGGCTGGCAGCTTCAGGAGGAGGTCCCACCGCTGGCCGAACACCATTCCCTCTTCATCTGTTCTCTCCACCACTCCACAAATGTTTGTGGAGGGCCGGCCAGTGCCAGGCACTGTGGTAGGAGCTTGGCAAACAGCACGGAGCCACAACAGACACGGTCCAGCCCTGGCAGAGCCTAGTGTCCAGGGCAGGGTCGCAGACTTCCACAAAGGGCCAGATAGTAAATATTGTAGGCCCCGTGGTCTGTATGGCCACAACTCTGAGCTTGGGTGCCCCCCCCACCCCAGCCCCAGGCCCCGTGTAAATGAGCCAGCGTGGCTGTGTTCCAATAAAACTTTATTCACGGACGCAGACCGTGGGCCAGATTTGGCTTGTGGGCCCTAGTTGGCCTCTCTTGGTTTAGCAGGATGAATTCCCCAAACAGAGAGGTGTCTGGTGTGATGTGAGCTGGTAGAAGGTGCCAGTGGAGAAGAGGTGGCAGGTGAGGGGGTGGAGATGATCTTGCCGATGGTCAAGGCAGATGCTGGCTGAGCCGATACATAAAGGAATCCAGGGAAGCCGCCCGGGAAGGTCTCCGGGGAGGAGCTGTGCGTCCAGTGCTCTGAGTCAGGCACTGCTTGACAACAGACGCTGACAGCCGACAGACAGCCGGGCTGCTGCCGAGTCAGCGTGGGGAAAATAGCTTAGGGCCTGTCTACAGGGTCAGGGGAGGCCTTCACGGAAGGGTTTCTAGAATGGACGTTTCAGAAGCTGTGGCCTGGAGACCAGACTGTAGGGGGACAGGGAAGGCATGGGGAGACCAGAGGAGGTGACCCCAGAGTTCAGGGGGGAGCAGAGCGGGGCTTGGACCAGGGTGGGCATGATGGGTGGGGGGACGTTTGAGTTTGGTTTGTGTGTTGGCAGCAGAGCACTGAGGATCTGCTGAGGGCTGGTACGGGGGCAGAGCCCAGGAGCCCAGGCTGACCCTAGTCCCTGGTGGAGACGGTGGAGCTGGGGGGCCTTGGAGGGGTAGTGGGGTGAGGGGTGGTGGGACAAGCAGGTCCCCCACACAGGAACCTCCCACCTAGTGGGTGCTCTGAGCTGTGCAGGGTGCCATGTGGAGGGCGCAGGTCAGTGAGACAGGATGTCTGTCAAGGGGGGTTCAGGCTTGGAATTAAGCGACAGTGTGAGGTGGGGAATGGGCATCCCTAGGTGACCGGGACAGATAACACGGCTCTGTTCCTGGTTCTGAACCGGCCACTTCTTGTGCTCGGTGGGATCACCTAGGGTTCAGATGCAGAGCTCTGAGGGGCACGAAATCTGCTTAATGGGTCCTAACCGGCAATGACACCATATAGCCCTAGGAGGCTCAGCGCATCCTGGGTAGCAGGGTGTCATTTCAGTGGGGGGGTGGGTGCTATGAATGTGGTGGGAGACGATCGCATTTCTTCTAAGGTTTCCACTGGAACCACCGCCTGGAGCATCAGCCCTGCTGGTCTTCCAGTCATGGCCACGCTGGGTCTGGAGCCAACCCTACCCTGCACTCAAGAGGTCCCTCTCTCTTCAGGGGATTTGGGGCGGATGGCCTCACCTCCTGGTGTGGCTGCACTGCTCTAGCCAGTGGTTTGGTGTGGGCGGGGTGCTGAACAGAATGAAGTGACAGGAGGCGACCCAGCCTGTGATTGGTGGCTCGACATGGGACTTCTGTTTTAGAGGCTTATAAGACCCTCCTCCCCCTTCTCTTTCCAGAAGAACCGAATGCACATAAGGTCGCCAGCCCACACTCCGGAATCTACCCCGATGATGTCCCGGACTATGGCCCCAAGCCCTACAGCCCCCTGGCCAGTTTCCCGGGCGAGCCCCCCGGCCGGTTCGGAGAGCCGGGTAGGGTCGGGCCCCCGAACTTTCTGAGCCCGGCCAAGCCAGCGGGGGCCTCGGGCCTGAGCCCTCGGATCGAGATCACTCCGTCCCACGAACTGATGCAGGCAGGGGGGTCCCTCCGCGCCAGGGACTGCGCCCTGCCGGTGGAGCCGCCGGCGGCCGGCCCGAGGTTCACGCTGCCCGTGCCCGGCTTCGAGGGCTACCGCGAGCCGCTTTGCTTGAGCCCCGCTAGCAGCGGCTCCTCTGCCAGCTTCATTTCCGACACCTTCTCCCCCTACACCTCGCCCTGCGTCTCGCCCAATAACGGCGCGCCCGACGACCTGTGTCCGCAGTTTCAAAACATCCCTGCTCATTATTCCCCCAGAACCTCGCCAATAATGTCACCTCGAACCAGCCTCGCCGACGACAGCTGCCTGGGCCGCCACTCGCCCGTGCCCCGTCCGGCCTCGCGCTCCTCGTCGCCCGGCGCCAAGCGGAGGCACTCGTGCGCCGAGGCCCTGGTCGCCCCGCGGCCCGCAGCCTCGCCCCAGCGCTCGCGCAGCCCCTCGCCGCAGCCCTCGCACGCGGCGCCCCGGGACGGCGCTCCCCCGGCCGCGCTCGGCCCCGCGGGGCCCGCCGTGCTCATGGACGCGCTCAGCAGCCTCGCCGCGGACTCGCCCTGCGGGATCCCCCCCAAGATGTGGAAGACCAGCCCGGACCCCGCGCCCGTGGCGGCCGCCCCGGCCAAGGCCGGCCTGCCCCGCCACATCTACCCGGCCGTGGAGTTCCTGGGGCCCTGCGAGCAGGAGGAGCGCAGGAACTCGGCCCCCGAGTCCATCCTGCTGGTGTCGCCCACCTGGCCCAAGCAGCTGGTGCCGGCCATTCCCATCTGCAGGTGAGCGGGGCTCGAGGGTGGTCGGTCCCCGAGGGTGGTCCGTCCCTAGCGCGGCTGAGCTGGGTCGGGTGTTGGGGGCTGTGGGCATGCAATCCGGAGCCAGGCGGAGTGGACCTAAATCCTGGCTCTGCCACTTGCCAGCCTTGAGGCGCTGAGACGGAAGTTGAATTCCCAGCCCCAGTTTCCCCATCTGTAAAGTGGGAGTAATCGGTTCAAGGCCCACCAGCCGTGGTGACGAAGGTGCAGCCATGTCACACTGTGCTCACTCAGGTGGCCCCTCACTCACATATTCAAAACTATTTATTAGCCGGGTGCAGGGGCCCAGAGACTGGGGAGGCACAGGCAGGAGGATGGAAAGCTCAAAGCCAGCCTCAGCACTTAGCAAGGCCCTGAGCAATTAAGTGAGACCCTGTCTCAAAATACAACATAAAACAGGTCTGGGATGTGGCTCAGTGGTTAAGCACCCCTGGGTTCAATCACCCGGGTGCTATTTATCAGATACCTACTGTGTGCAAACTACTAGACAGAAGATTTCTACCTTTATGGAGCTGACACTCGGGGGGCACAGAGCAAGCTTTCCTATGGAAGCCCCCTCATCTCAACAGGAGCCAGTGTTCCTCAGCGTTTGTCACAGGCTCAGTATCATGGAAGCCCTGGAAGAAGTCAAGTGCCACCATCCTCAAGGGGCTTAAGATCTTGGTAGGCTGAAGAGATGCATATAGAGATCAGCATATGGCTCTGGGATCCCTGGGGACTGAAATTGAGCCCCAGCTCTGCCCTTCTGCCCCTGTGTGATCCTGGGTATCTCTGTTCTGCTAGGCTATTGCTGTGTCAGTGGCAGACATTGCTAATCAATCTCCACCTTCTCACTGAGTACCTTTTGATGCTATGCCCAGATCAGACATCACTAATCAATCAGGACCCCTGATATATATATATATATATATATATATATATATATATATATATATATATATATATATATATTTTTTTTTTTAGAGAGAGAGACAGAATTTTTTTAATATTTATTTTTTAGTTTTCGGTGGACACACATCTTTTTTTTTATTTTTATATGGTGCTGAGAATCGAACCCAGCGCCCTGCGCATGCCAGGCGAGCACGCTACTGCTTGAGCCACATCCCTAGCCCCAGACCCCTAATACTTTTACTGAGCCCTTTCTGGCCTTGGTTCATTCCCAGTGATATAAGGATAATTATGGTACCTACCTAATAGGGTCTTTTTCAAGGGCTAGGTAAAATGACACTCGTCCAACTCTTGGCATAGAGCCAACACAAAGTAAGCGCTCAGAAAGGAGCTGCTGCTGCTATTCAGGAAATGTTATTCTTATAAGTCAGGCGTTTCCTCTTTGAAAAGCCTTGTGCTAGGAGATTGAGCTCACTGTAGGCTTTAGAGTACTGATGGTGACATTGATAGCTACCAACATTCAGAGTAAGGACAATGACATTGATAACCACCCACATTTAAGGGTGCCTGCCATGTGTCAGCACAATTCTAAGGACCCGATTATTTCACGTAATTCTCACGTGAACCTGGTTTGGTATTATTTGGCTTTTTTTTTTTTTTTTTATCTTCATTTGGATGTTAAAGAAAAGGAGGTGCTGGGTGTGGTGGCCTATAGCTCTAATCCCAGCAGCTCAGGAGGCTGAGGCAGGAGGATTGCAGGTTGAGGTCAGCCTCAGCAACTTAGAGAGGCCCTAAGTAACTTAGTGAGGCCCTGTCTCAAAAAACAAAAAGGGCTGGAGATGTGGCTCAGTGGTTAGGCACTCCAGACCAAAAAAAAAGGAGGAGGTGACAGGCGAGGGCAGAGAGTCCTCTCTCTGCTCTGTCTGTGGGGTGGGGTGCAGGACTGAAAGGCTCATGCTGTCACGGTTGTCCCTGTGGCTTTCAAACTGAGATTTGTGTTAGCAAATGGAAACCTTTTGGTTTTCCCAAATAAAAGAATGAGATGAAAGTCACGGTGGGTAAAGGTAGAGCTGGGGTTTTGTTTATTTATTTATTTATTTGTTTATGCTCCGTGGTTCTGGGATGAACGCAGGGCCCCATGCATGCTGGTAAGCCTCGGCCACAGAGCCACCCCACCCTGGCAGAGCTGTTTTGATTGACGCGGGGATGAGGGTGGCTAAGGACCCTGCCCACGTGGCTTTGCTCAGTCCTACACCCAACCAAAACTGACCACAGGGAGCGTGCCGTGTGGCTTTCCTCCAAAGCAGGCTCTGCGGATGGCAGGGCCACAGTGGGTCACTTGGTGTTTCCTGGAAGAGAAGTCCGGGTTCAGCAGTTTCCCAGGGGCCCCTGCAGGCCTTCTCAGGGCCTTCAAGTGGGCAGAGTGTGCGATGATTTCAAGGGCCATGTGGTGACAGCGTCCTGCGTTCTGTGCCTGAAGATTTCCAGGGCCACTTTAGGAAATGCCTGAAGGCCAGGCCCTGGTACAGACAGAAACTTGGGCTCACAGCAGTGAAGTGACACGTGCACCGTTACCAGACAGTTAGTGACTGAGTTGGGAACTGGAACCTGGGATCCCTGATGCTGGTTTCCCTGCTACAGATTGGTTTCCAAACCACGACTTTATTTATGGCCCAGAGAGGGAGGAGCTTGGATATGGAATGTGAACTGATAGGCCTGAGACCTGATTGTTTGTAAAACCCTTCCTTTCCATCTCTGCAGCCTGATCAGAGGCTCTGAGGGTCAGAGTCCTTTAGTCCCGAGCAACACCCCATTTGTTCCAGCCAATGAGACATTTGCAAAAATGTTCCGTGGGATGGAGAGAATGGAGCATTCAGGGAGAAGCTCATGGTGACCTTGGTCTCAGGAGGACAGCTGAGGACAGGTCAGAGGAGACCTGGGATTGAAAGGCAGGAGGGCAGGCCGACTCCAGAGGTCCACTTCTTAGGAGTCTGTGTCAGTGTCAGACCCTATTTCAGAATTATTAAGTGGAACTTGTGGATATTCCAGTGAATCTTAGATATTAATGTAGGACTAAAGGGATTTTTTTTGGTCTTATTTTGCAAACTTTAAAACATTCCCACTTGCGTACATGATGGCAGTTAGTAAGAGTGTCCGACATGTGTGGCCTGGTGGCTCCATGCAGAAGCTTGGCAGCCTCTTAGTTTTGTCACAAGGTGGAAATAAAGGTCCTTTGGACACCCTAACACTGAGGGTAATGAGGCCCAGGGGGCATCTGGGTAGGAGGAAGGCGGGGAGGCTTTCTTGCATAGAACGGGGCAGCGCTAAGTTGGAGTGTATGTTTCGGCTGGGCTCTGGCACTGAAGGAGGCCGTGGGGGTGTGCTCCAAATCTGCCCTTCTCCCCTGGGGACTGTGATGGCAGAGGAGGGAGGAACTGGCTTCACTGCAGGTGCTTAACTAAGTCCTCTGCTAATGCCAGCTTCTCACAGCCCTAAGCTAAGTGGGAAAGAATACGCCGATCAGTTTAAGGATTTCTGCCCTGCAGGAGGAATCGGGACACAGGGGCACAAATCATGGCCTTGGCAGCTCCAAGACTGCAAATGTATTCAGGCCTCCTTTGAAATAAAGGTGTGCATTTGTTCAGTCACCTACCTGCCCATCCACACCTGCATCCTCCACCCACCACTACAGATTCACAGATCAATGTGATATCAAATGTCCCATGATCTAGAGACTTGCCATAAATGAGAGTGTCTTGGATTTATTTTAAATAAATTAGCAAGGTAAGAAGCATCGAGCCCTGATGTCTTGGCCTTGGAGTCAGGAGACTGGAATCGGAGCCTCGTCCTAGTCCTGCTCCGTGATCTTGGAGAAGCGCCTTCGTGTTCTCTGAGATGGAAGGAATGTTCTAGCCGATCTTCAAGACCTTGGTCAGCTCTTTAGTGATGCCATTCTGCACATCCGTCAAGTGCTATTGTCGGTCTTGAGACTCTGTAAGAAAATGAAACTTAAGGCATTGCCCACAAAGACCTCCCCGGTGACGTCTGTATGGCTGCTGCCATGTCCACGGCAGAGGGTCTCCTGGAGATAACTGCTTGACTCATACGATATGTGACGGGAAAGGCGATTACAGCCAGCGTTGATCAGCACCTTTTGTGTCACGCTCTTTATGTGATCTCCACGTCCCCACTTTGCAAGTGAGGACCCTAAGGTCTAGGGCAGCGGAGGCTCCGAGTTAGGGCTGGAGGTGTAGCTGGGATTTGAACTGGGTTGTAACTCCAGTCCTGTTACTGAGGCTCACCCCCCACGTAATATCAGGGCGTCTCTGTGGTCCGAGGACCCATTCCTCACTGACCTCATAAGTAGTGACCATGGCCGGAAATGGCCTCTTCCCCAAGTGTACTTTTACTTGAGCTCATCATGGGTAGAAGGAGGAGCTGAGAGAACTCTCAGCTGCTGGCCACCATGTGCGCCACCTGATTCTGGAGACCGCGAATAAGGGAGGTGAAGTTCTGGCTTAAAGTCCCAGGGCACGTGCGTGACATGTGTGGCTCTCCTGATTGCCACTTAAATGTGCTTTCTCCTACGTCACCCTCTGAAAAAGGAATGCATCTTTGCAAAGGGGTGTTTTTGAGAGGTGGGAGGTGCTGTTCTTCAAAGTCCCCAGAGGAGAAGCAGTGACAGCAATGAGGAGCGTGGTTAGAAACAGAACTAACATAGGATGCTGTCGGCCTCATGCATTGAGAGGCTGGTCACAGTGTCCTCATCAGGATGGACAAGAAAGCAAAGGAAAAGCTCTGTGTCCTAATATCCGCTGTCATGTCTGAGCAGCACGTGGCCCTTCAAATGCTGTTTTAATTCATAATCCACCGGATTCAGTTTTCAGGGGGAAAAAAAAGGGGCCATTTATGTTTATTGTACAAGGGGATTGATTCTGGTTTACCGTGCACGTGACCGATTGCTTTTCTTCCTCCAGCATCCCAGTGACCGCGTCCCTTCCGCCCCTCGAGTGGCCACTCTCCAATCAGTCGGGCTCCTATGAGCTGCAGATTGAGGTGCAGCCCAAGCCACATCACCGGGCCCACTATGAGACGGAGGGCAGCCGAGGGGCTGTCAAAGCCCCCACAGGAGGCCACCCTGTGGTTCAGGTACGGACTCGCATTCTCCTGCCTTTGCCTCCTGCGTGTGTCCCCAGGTGGTTCGCTTCTGCCGAGCCGCTGCTGTGGCTGTGAGGCCGACATGCACCCGGGTCTCAGACTCTTGCTCTCGCGAGGGGCGAGAAACTTGAGGTTGGATCGCTGTCAGACGCTTGGCTGGCCCACAGGGGCCAAGAGGAAACCTTCCTGAGCTAGGTAAAAGGGATCCTCTCGCGGGGAGAAGTCTTCCCTTTTTCTTCTGAGTGAGAAGCAGTTAGAGCTTTGGAGAGGTTTGTGTTGGCAGAAGGTTCCTGGTGTCGTCATCTTGAGTATCAGATGTGAGTCTATCAAGGAAAAATAATTTATGCTTGAAAAATTCCAAAAAAAAAAAGGAAGAATTAAGACGACATTCTCTAAAGTGACGGTTGCTAGTGTTTTGATGGATTGCTGTTGTCTTCTTTCCTATTCGCAACCTCTGGGACCGTGTGTCTACATGCTTGATGCTGAGCGAACCTGTAGTTGGTAATGATTTAAAAACTTTACAACCATGAGAGCATTTCCCTTTTTTTTTTTTCCTAATTAGTATCCTTTATGTCTGTGGTTTTCAATCTGATTTTTCTTTTCCCCTCAAGTAAGTATAGACCTGTTTTCTTTTTCCTCCAAAAGAATTAGAGTTGAAATAGTCTTAATTATATAGTCTGGTTAACCAGGGTCTACAACTGGTGCCCACCAACCAGCTGAGTTAACCAGAATCTTCGATATATTTAAATTAATGTCACTATTTTTTTTTTTTTTTTTTGATTTGCCTTAAAGTGGAAATATTCTATGACAGGAAGTTGGTTCTTCATGTACAGTGTGGAGAGCACCCTGAGAGCTGTTCTTAAAACACACAGGTTCTTGAGCCTGCAGAGCTGCTTAATTAGAATCTGTAACAAGAGTCAGGTGCAGTGGCGCTCGCCTGTAATCCCGGCAGCTTGGGAGGCTGAGACAGGAGGATCGTGAGTTCAAAGCCAGCCTCAGCAAAAGCGAGGTGCTGAGCAACTCAGTGAGACCCTGTCTCTAAATAAATACAAAATAGGGCTGGGGGTGGGGCTCGGTGGGCGAGTGTCCCTGAGTTCAATCCCCAGTACCCCCTCCCCTCCCCCCCAAAAAAAGGAAAGAGAGAAACTGTAATAGGAATAGAGCCCAGACAGACAGACAGATGACAGAAGCCCCCAGACTAAGACTCTTCATAGACTCCTGGGCAGTGTGCTCTGGCTACGGACTTGTGTGACAGTGAGAAGAACTTACAGACCCTGGAGCTGCTCTTCCTAAGTCTGATGCTGCCGCGTCTTGGAGGCTGATCCCGGGCCTCGATGTCCTTCCTCAGAGGAGTCTGTCTTTCCTCGTGTTTGTGTGTTGGTGTGGGGGCTCTCTCCTTTGGGATAACAGCACAGAGCAGAGTTGTAGAGCTTGGATCTTGCTCTCCCCCGAGGGCACTCGGTGGTTCCCGCATCACCTTGAACTTGTATCAGCTGGTTTGCTCCGTGTTCATGTGGACGTGGGGCAGGCCCATGGCTTCTAGCCGAGTAGGGACTCAACGCTGCGTACTCTCCTGCGTGGGTCTCGGCCAGGGCCGGCTCTTCCGCACTTTGGTCCTTTGCGTGGTTTCTGTGGCGGGAAGGCTAGTCTGCTTCAGAGCCTCCCGACCACTGGTGATCTAGGGTCACCTTCTTCAGCGGGGACCCCTGGTCCTGCAGGCTGCTCTGACATGTGTATTCGAGTCAGTGCTTCTGTGGTCACACTGAGAGAACCTCATTCAGGGCAGATCAGGGGAAGGGGAATATCTGAGAGGTTCCTGGACGTCACATAGAACCAGAGCGGGAGATCCGGTAGAGGTCTGTTGGCTCAGCCCATCCGTTCGACAAGCGGCTGCTTCCCAGAAGTACTTGTGGAGCACACACTGTGTTTGTGCCTTATACGGTCTTGCTGCTGAAGGAAGAAAAAGAAGTTGTGGTCTCCCATGGAACTCTTGGTCTGAATAATTCTGCAAACGGTAGGGTTATGAGCTGCAGCAGGTAGCATGAAGAAAAAGTGCATGGAGCTTTGGGCACGTAAAACAGAGGCGTTAATGCAATGGAGGGAAGAACATCAGTTAAGAGTCTCTGGGGAAGAGACTGGGCTGTGGATGCATGTGGCAGCAGCATGTGCAAATGCCCAGGGGCAGAGGGAAATAGACCACACCAGAGGAACTTGAGGATTCCAGTGTAACTGGAGCATTAAGGGCCAGAGGGGAGGGAAGAGAAGTGGCAAGGGGCAGAGCAGGCAAGGCCAGGGCCATGGAGGAGACCAGGAGAGACACATGGTCTGATTCAGGCTCTGAAGACCCACTCTGACTGCTTCACAGGGATGAACGCTGGGAGGCTCTTTCCAAGGCTCCAGGCTGTGTGCTACGCTCATCCACTGATTATGCTACAAATGTTTGTTGAGCACCTACTATGGATCAGATGCAGTGCTAGATTCTGGGGGTTGGTATGAACAAAACAGCCAGAGAGCGCTTTTATTTTTATTTTTTTCCGTGAAGTCGGGGAGTAACCCTGGGCTTCCCATGTGCTGGGCAAGTGGTGTCCCACTGAGCTGCACCTCCAGCCCCAGCAGCCAGAAATTCTCACCCTCACGAGCCACAAGATGACAAGAAGTCCTCAGAGAGCAGTCACCATGTGGGAGGCCGTCTTCTGAGTGACGTGCATGTGTCGACTTACCCAGTCCTCCCTGGAGCTGCCCCACGCAGGCCCTGGTTAGAAGGGTGGGGTGGGCAGCTTGTCCCTGGTCAGAGGGGCGGGAGCATGGCTCACAGCTTCCTGACCGGCTCCGACTCCCCGCAGGCAGCCCCCCCTGACGTCTGACCGGTGTGCAGACAGCAGGTAGATGATAGCCCCTGCCCTTTGGCAGCCCTCCATCCCTGCACCTTCACATGCTGCCCACTTCTAGCCGGCCACCAGCCCTCGGGGGCCCAAGTCCTGCTTCTCGGGGAGATTCCATTAGCAGCATGCCACCCACCGGCCCAGGGTGCAGGGCAGGGGTGGTTGTGCCAGTGCCCTGTGGCTCTGTCACTCTGCTGGGAGTGACAAGGGCCGGGTTTTAGCAGGGCTTTTGCACCATACATCGGGGACTGGGGCCATGGAAAGTTCTAGAGAAGAGAACAGGCTGGGTGCACAGTTCAAAAGATGCCCGCCCTCTGCATCTGAAGTTCGTGATCTCCCAAGGACTCGTCTCCCTCCTGGCCTATAACTTTGGAAACCCGTGTATGCTCTAAAAATTTGTAGTCATATCTTCAAAAGATTTCTTTTAAGAAAATCACTTCATGGAGTGCGTTCTCTTCAAATTGAAATGTGCTAGTTTTTGTTGGGTTTGGTTTTTAGCATAGGAAGTCAGTTTTAAAGGAAACGTCTTTGAAAAATGAAGAGGGGACTTGGGGATGGCTGCGGCTCTTCACCTTGAAGTGGGAGTGACAGCCCTGCCTGGACTCTGGGCCACCCTCTCTGTCCTCGAGGGGCAGCGTAGCCCCGAGTGTCCCTTGCTGGTGCTTCTGTGGCTGCTGTCTGGGGCTCCCCGCCCTCTGGATCCCCGCTGTGCCTCTTCTCTCCTTGGTGACTGGTCCCCACCCTTCTCCCTTTTATCTGTCACATTGTAGAACTTCACTTTTTTTTTTTCCTTCACATGATTAGTGGTTTTAAGCTTCTCTTTATATAAGAAGGAAATGAGCTGAGACCGTGTCATTCTTTCTCTCTCTAAACATGAAATTGAAAATGTTCCCCATGGGCCGCGCTCGGCTGTTCTTTTTTCCCCTCTTTTTCCGAGCACCCCTTGGTTTTGGATGGAAGTTTGATCTAAAACCTTAAATGCTTTTAGCTCTCATGACTCAGTCAGGGTGAGTGTGGAGGACCTGCCGTGTGGCCGGCACTGTGAGGTGGACAGAGCACCTGCCCTGGTGGAGCTCAGGGGCTGCTACGCGGGTACACCAGGGTGCCTGGGTGTCACTGAACCTAGGGTGCTTCAGGGAGGCCCGAGACTGGGTGAAAGTGACCTGGAATGGGTTTGCTGGCCGACACCTGGGCTCAAGGGAAGATGTGACAGCTGATTAGGGGCCCATCCGGTGGATTCACAACTTGGGGTGACCGCCTCAACAAGACCCGTCAAGAGATGATACTTGGAAGGCCTACTTTCAAAGGATGGTCTCGCTGAGGAGGTGACTCGCCAGCTGGGACCTGACACAGGTGATCCAGCCCACAGAGAGAGATGAATGGTGTCCCCCTGCCTCTGTCCACCTGTGTCTTTGGGTGGAGAGTGGCCTGCACAGCACAGCGCAAGCAAAGGCCCTGAGGCAGGGAAGAGCTGTGTCTGGGGAACCGCAGGGCCTGTCCTTGCAGTGCAGACCAGAGGTGGTGGTTGGTGGGCTCAGCTGCACCCTAGGCCCGGGCCCCCCTGCTCCATCATCCGAGGGCTCAAGGACTTTGTACACCTTCAGTGGTAGGCGACCTCAGTCTAGAGGCAGGGGACTGAGGAGAGAACCACAGAAGACACTGGGTAAACAGGCTCATAACCCGGTGGGCTCCGGGGTACTGGGCGATGAAAGGAAGTGACCGAATTGGCCACACGGGGGGCAATGGGGAGCGGTGGGCAGCAGGGCATATCAGTATATGCCTCATCTCAAGGGGGTGTCGCTGTTCAGTCCCTGTGGGCTGTGCTCCAAATACCCTCAAGTTCATGTCCTCTGGAGTTAATAAAAAATGTGCCACTTCAAGGTTTTTCAGAAAGAAAGGGAGGTACGAGACAGGTTCTATTTGTAGGACTTTTAAGCAATATCCAGTCCGGGAAGGTCCACTCTCGCAGTTCCTCTTGTACAGCTGTCAATCTCATGAGCTAGAAGGAGCCTGGAGTTCTTTCTGGGGAGTTCTTACTTCACTGGCCAGATGGGTCTGTGGGTACCAAATGCAAAAGGGAACCCGGATTCACCTCCAAAGAGCCTTCGT